CATAAATCCTCTAGGATTACTAGAAATGGCAAAAATGACATTTGCCATTGATAGTATAGTCAAATAACCTATAGGAAAATACCATGTTATTAAAACAGATAAAATGAGGATGATGATTGAAACATACTGTATAAAATCTATAATAATCTGGTGATAAAAACTGTTCCATACCATAAATACCTCTTTGAAAGTATTTAAATTTCCTATAATTCATGACATGGTGGAATCATCTTCCCATTGAATATCTTCTAATTTGGTTTTGTGACTAATACAAATTTTGATTTCAAAATATATTTAGTATGATTTTAAATGTTCTCTGAAATGCATCAAGATTGATTATGTACTGTGTTATGAGGTTATTTGAACTTATGTTCTCCACAAAGTATGGGAATATGGTACTTTTAATAAAATGTTGTATTTGCCCATGTAGAGAATAATGCACCCATTAATATCAGTTAATACTTGCTTCAGGTATGAAAATTCTCAGTCATACATAGAGTATAGAATAGATCAAAGCACAAATTAAAAATCATGTGCAACTGAAAATCCTGATAATTGAAGCCAATACTCTATATAGAGACAAATGTTCATTCTAATATTATGTATACTTTCGTATTGTTCTATATTTAAATTAAAAAGGTAAAGTTCTACATTTGAAATATTCATTACAGGCTGGAGACTTAGCTCAGCAGCATAAGTCCTGCCTGGAAGCACAAGGTCATGAGTTCAATCCCTGGTACAAAAAAAACTCCAATAAAAAAAATATTCATTACACATAAGAAAAAAGAACAAATTAAACATAAAGAAGTGAAAGTTGGGATACAATCTGAAAGTAATATTTAAAAAATTAAGACACTGAGAGAAAATGAGCAGAGATAAATGTGATTCTGGTAACAAAAAGCAACAATTCTGAGTACAATTCTCCAAAAAATAAGAGAATATTTAAAAATATTTAAAGCTAACTTAATATGACAGAAATTTCTCCATTAGTATTGTTATATGAAAATTTTTTCTATGAAAGTATAAGTAATTTAATATCACCCTATGTCTTGAAATCTATAAAATCACAGGAAAACAGCATAACAGTCCTAAGGAAAAAAATTGTCTTTATAACAGTTGTATCTCCTTATTACCATGTCTCTTAACCTATAGGAGTATACAGTGTAATTTTTCACTCCAAATATTTGTTGATTAATAATACCAACAATGAACTGCATGAGCATTCAAAAATATATTAATGTTAACTTCATTCTTTCAGAACAGAGGAAAATCAAGTCATTTTGTCAGGAAATAAATTGTGTTAATCATAGCTGAAAGCGCACTTGGAAGAAACAAAGTTCACAGTCTACTTTCCTTTTTAAACTCAATTTACATGTTCTATTCCAAATTGAGGTATATATTTCAGGAATGGCATACCATAGCAAACTCAGTTTATAAAACATAGTTAAATATACTAGCTCCTAGTAAAATAAAAAATGAGACTACCAAATGGTGATAATATAATAAAGTTGGACATCACTGTGATTTAAAAGCTATAAGATTATGTATTACCAAATTAGGTCTAGGAGAAGGTCTGTAGCTTCCCCTCAATATTGGTGTTTATGTTACCCTATAGCACACTTTACAATTTGTGGTTTATTTTTGAAAGAAACAATGAGATCACAACTTTTGCTATCATACTACTGCCACACTCTACACCACGGGCAGTGCAATAAAGAAAACACTGAAAAAAAGGGAGAAATGTGAATGATGGAATTTTCCAGTGATGATAGTTTTTAAGTATAAAATTCATGTAAATAAAATAACATGATATTGAATTTCCTAGTTGTGGAATACAAGATTATCACAAAAATGAAACCTTTTTTCATACCTTAGTCATAAGGCGCTTATAAAAAATTCTGAAAATTGATTTTTGTAGCATTTAAAAATCATTAAATATGTGCTGATGTATCCTGTAAATGGTTTTGAAAGATATCAAGGTTAAGTTATTGAAATACTCCTTTAACAATAAAAATTAAATTGGTGGCTGCATCAAGCACATTCATAGATGGAGAAGCTCAATAATGGAACAATTTCTCTTTCAATGTCGCTTCATATTTATTTCCCAGGGGCTTAGCAATCATGTTGGCTTCATAATATGAGACTGTTCACTGAACACCTCGGAAATAATTTATACAGTTTTGATATAGATAAAATAAGTGAAGTAAGAGAAGTAATAAAGGCACATTCTTTATTACTTTGTAAAAATAGAAAGCTTTGCGTATGCCAGATTTTGAAAGGAGAATAAATAACAAGCAGTATTATACACGAATTATTCTTTTATTTTGTGTGTAGAAACAAATGCAAAAGTGAGGTGCGGTGATGCATGCCTGTAATCTATGGCTCTGGCTAACTGAGGCAAGAGGATTTTCTGTGGGAACACAGCATTGGCAACAGAGTGAATTAAGGAGATCCTTTTTCAAAATAACAAAATTAAAAAAGATTAGGAATATATCTCAGGGCAAAGTTACTGAGTTCAATTCCACATACTGACAAAGAAAGAAAAAGAAAGCAAAAACTTAAAAATTGACAATTTAATTCAAGTCTGGTAAGTTTCTAGGAATGATCTTGCTGGGGGGAAAGGGAAATAATATACTTAGGCAAGTGACAGTTTTCATTCTTAATAGCTATGCAGCAGTGTGTGAAGTGTCCGAACCATCAATATGCCAACACTCAGAAAAAACTGACTGCAAAAAGCTGTGACTTTTCTGGCTTATGAAGATCCTTAGGGTGCTGTCTTTGGGCTCTTTGTGAAGCAATGAGTCATTCCTTCTCATTGTCAAAGCCAATAACCGGGCTTCAGCTACATCCTATTCATCTCCCTCACCTTCTGCTTCCTCTGCTCTTTGCTCTCCATGGCTGTTCCAACACAGCCATCTGCATCCTGAAGCAGACCACATTTGCAGTTGTCTTCACTGTGGCTGTTTCCAATGTCTTGGCCAAAACTATTACTGTGATGCTAGCCTTTAAGGTGACTGCTGCAGGCAGAAGAATGAGGCAGTTCCTCATATTAGGGGCACCAAACTACATCATCCCAATGTTCACCCTGATCCAACTCACTCTCTGTGGATTCTGGATGGTCAAATCCACCCTACATTGACACAGATGCACAATCTAAACATGGTCACATCATCATCGTGTGCAACAAGGGCTCCTTCACTGCTTTCTACTGTGTCCTGGGATACCTGGGCTCCCCGGCCCTAGTCAGCTTCACGGTGGCTTTCCTGGCCAGGAACCTGCCTGACACATTCAATGAAGCCAAGTTCCTGACATTTAGCATGCTGGTGTTCTGCGGTGTGTGGGTCACCTTCCTCCCTGTGTACCACAGCAGTAAGAGGAAGGTGATGATGGCCATGGAGGTCTTCTTCATCTTGGCCTCTGGTGCAGGGCTGCTGGACTGCATCTTTGCCAAGTGCTACATTATTTTCTTAAGACCACAAGGAAATATTTTCCCTGGGTTCAAGGTAAAACACGTTCTGAAAGGAAAAAAAAGCCTTCTTAAATTGAAAATATACTCTTTTACTAAAATATATAAAGTGTATGAGGCAATTCTGCATCATTTTCTAGTCATATTTGATATAGTTTGGGATTTACTCAAATAAAGGACTATTAGTTTTTTCTTAACAATCTTACACTTGTAATTGTCAGTAACTATCACATCTTTCAATTGGAATTTTATTCTAGATTCTAGATTTTTGTCCCATTGATTCTACAACCAATCTTATTATGTCTTAAACTTGATTGTTATTCCCTTTCATTTTTTCTCATTTAATTTTTCAGTAGTTAGGAATTTTAACACACTTTTAGTTATAGATCCAATTCTTCAATCCCCTTAAGCATTTAAGAATTTCTCTCACATTAGTCTGCTAGTATTCCAGCAATTACCCATCATATGTTACAAGAAATATTCTTTAAGATGGCAAGGTGTTAAATTTGTATTTTAACTCAGGTGTGAATATGTGTGTAGTACTGATTTTTCCCATGCATAGTTGTATGAATCTTCCCATGTACCCTTGTTCAATAATCCTTTGTTAACATGAACCATGTCTAGTGTTTATTTAATACATGTTATATATAAATCAGTGGAGAAGGGGCAGCAGGTTGTCTGGCTGCCCTCCTGTTGTGGTAGAGGATGGGGCTTGATAGCCAGGGAGGATACTGCAGCAAACTGTCCCAGTCTGTTGGGGTGCAAGGAGGAGAAAAGGGGAGTAGACAGAAGGCCAGTCTGCTGTTGGCCAGACTACACAGCCCCTCCAGCTGAGAAATGAGTTGGGTTCTTCTATTATCACCAATTCATTGAGGCAGTGTGTCACTTCTGGTGACTGAAATAATATTCCCTGAAGGCTGACACAGTCCTCTAGCAAAACATAAACTCTGTTTTATCACGATGGCTGAAATCCACCTTTGCCCAGTTATCGATTGTGACCCATACATTTCTTAGGTGAGTCTATTTTCTTTTTCTAAGATGTTTTCCTTTGAAAAAAATAATGCATACACGTGTCCACTACAACAGAAATCTATCAGTTAAGCATACCAAATATAGTAATAAAATTTCTTTTAAACCAAGGCAATGTCTGCATAAGTCATGATAAACACTAAGCTTCACTTCAGGAAAGGAAGTGAAGCTAAAACAGGAGACCAGCCAGGCTTTTCCCCACTCACCACTGCGCACAGTACCAGACCTGGGACCAGAGACAGGAGAGAAACAGGGAAAGATCTGAGGAAAAGAACTCGAACTGCAGGTATCCACAGCAAAGCACCAAACGGGACAGTATTTTTAGCTTTGAGAACAAATATTCAAGTAAACCAATCCCAGACAATTGGGCGAACACACATAATAAACTTTGCTCTTTGTTAGTAACTTTATCAAGTAAAACGACTGCTTAATCAGCCTCCTACGTTCGGCGAAGAGGTAGAGAATCCCTCGCACTATCTGGAGATTCCCAGGAGCACGGTAATAGGGCCAGGTTTATGATCGAAAACCAGATCACAGCTCGTAAGACCAAGTCAGTTCTACGATTTTGTTTCCAGAAAATCAAACTTGGCAAGGAAAACTACCCAAGCACAGTAGCACAGCGGAAATAAAGCCTCCCTCTTACTGGAGGCCGAGCGCCCCCCGTTCCGCGCTTGTTCCAAGTGCGCAGGCGCAGAGATGGGGAGTGTGGCATCATGTTTCGCGGTCCTCTGCGATGAGGCTGAGGAGGCGCGATTCCAATTCAGCCTGGTGTCCCAGGATCTCTCTCCCCACTGCACCCAGCCCAACGGTCCTGCCCTAGGGGAGGAAGGTGGGCGAGGTGGCGGAGCTGAGGACTTGAAGAAAGGGCTCCAGGAAGGTCAGACCCCGGAGTAGGTGGTCCTTACAGGCTGAGGGAGCGAGCCGAGGGGCGTGCGTGTGGTGTGCGGGGCGGGGCCTTGTGATGGACGGGCGATTGGCCAATGGGGGAGGGCGGGCCCGTAAGGACTGGGCCTTCGGAGAACCTGCTCGCTGTTTGCTATCTTGAGGACAGCTCGGGGGACCTCTGGCCTTAATTTGGGGAATCTGTGCCCAGCGCCTTCCTAAAGCGTTTAGTGATCGCCACTCTGGAGCGTGTGCGCCACAGCCCTGGCGAGGAGTTCCACGGAAAACGTGGGCGGGAGATCTTGCTCGTGCCCACGGAGCCTCTGAGGAGGTCTGAGGGTGTGACAGATGAAATCCTCAGCAGTACTGAATGAGTCTGTTGCTGTGGGATTTGTTCTCCCCTGTTATTTAACCTTGGTTGACCTGTGCTGCTTCTTGAGTAATGAGATCCCTAGTTACGCTCACTGGGAAGGGAAATGATGATTATGTTCTTGAATACTGTCATTCTAAAGTTAGATAACAGCCTTTTCTTTTACCTTATTGTGGAGAGTGTAAGAGACAGGAAATATGATGCTCAAGGGCTTGGGGAGCAGCAGAGATCTTTCACCTCCTGGGCTCAGCCACTTGCCGGGGTGAACTTGATCAAGTCACTTTTCCGAGTCTCATCCTCTTTACCCATGAAAAAGTTGATGGAAATACAAAGCACAGGAGGTTGTTGCCATTAAGGATGGCGCTTGGACTGGATATTCAAGTCAGGACATCTCCCTACCCACAGCAGTGAAAAGCAGAAACCTTTGGCTATGGCCCCTTATGTCTAGTCTAGCTGGCTACTTACATATTTATCACAATTTTATTAAACACCCTCGTGATGCTTACGCCCCTACCCAGAGACCTGGAAGCCAAGAAGAGCAAGACATTTCTCCTTTTACATAGCTTATATTCCACTCATGGGGGAAAATAGTGAAAAAGGTTCAGTTAGTGCTAAGAGCTACAAAGAAATTAAGTACAAGGTAATATGATAAAGGTGCGACCTAAGGCAGCATGTGTGCATGCTACGTGTATGTGCACATGTACATGGTGCATGTGTGTACATTTCAGTGTTTTGGACTCTTGTTAAGTGGTGAAACTGGGGAGTGAGCCGAGTGCTGAATATTGAGTCATCATTTCCAAGGCGGGGGAACTAGCGATTAGTAGGCACAAGCTGATTAGGTGAGGCTCAGTGTCTGGCTGAAGGTATGTAGACTGACCCCGCAAGCTACCTTTAGAGAGAGGGAGTCGGTGATGCTAATCGTCTTTGTCTGGGGATTGAGAACTAAGAAACAGGAAAAGAACTTTTACATGGCAGAGGTGATTGAAGAGGCTGTGTGCAGGCTAAAAAATCTAAATGATCAGAAAATAGGAGTAGGCTAAGGAAGTCAGATTGGGGCTCTATCAGGCATCTGCCTGGACAGCAGAATTATGGTCCATGGTATTTTTTTTTATTGGTGAGGCTCCTAAAGCTGTTGGAAGACTGAGCAGGCTTGTGCTTCTCACCTGGAAGGAGTGCATCCTGCCAATAACATGTTTCTTATTTTCCCAGAGGCTCAGGTAATTTTTCAGTGTGTATCATGTCAGTAAATTTCTCTTGTACTTTAGCAAGATATCTTGCACCCATGTGAATCAGATGAAAGCAGAGGCAAATGTACCAGGTTTAAAGCATGGTTTTCCTCCGGTTAGTTATGACTCTGAGGACTTATTTACTGTCTCCTCCTTCCCCAGTGCTTCAGAGTGGACCCAAGTATTTGTGCAGGCAAATGCTCTAACTCTGAGCCACTGGTCCAGCCAGAAATTATTGTTTCTTTTTTTAATTAATTAATTTTATTGATGCATTTTATACATATATAATGCTAACATTCATCATATGGAATTTGTGCCTGTATATGATATAACTTGATTTCTTTTTTCCCTTTCCCTTTCTTCCCTTAAACTGTTAGTCTCTTCCTTATTTACAAAGCTTTGTTTTCATTTTTCCTTCTATTCTCCCTTTTTCTATTCCCAATCCTCTCCCTGGTTCCCCTTCTCATTTGAATATTTTCCTCCTATTTCACAGTATCTAATCCAAGTATAAATATACACTTTCAGTTTCTCACTTTGTATAAACCATGCAATATTTGAGCATATGTGTCTGATTAATTTCACTTAAGACTCAGTGTTCATTCATTTACTTAGAAATGTCTCAAGCTTTTATGGCTGAATAGCACTCCATTATATATAAAAAAAAAACCAGACCTTCTGTATCCATTCATAAGTTGATGGGCATTTGAGTTGTTTCCAAGATTTAACTATTACCAATTGCTACTATAGAAATGGGCATGCATATATCACTGTGGTGATTCTTTTAATTCTTTTGGGAAGATACCAAAAAGGTGAACAAATATGATAAATGCAACCTATAAGCCTAGGTTTTGAGGAATTTCCACAGTAGTTATACCAGTATATATTTCCACCAATAGGACATAAGGGCTGCTTTTTCCCCACAGCCCTTCCAGCATTTATTATTGGTTGATTTCTTGACAATAGCCACTTCTTGACAGTAGTGAGATGAAATCTCAGTGTTGTTTTAATTCGCATCTTTCAAGTGACCAGTGACCTTGAACATTTTTTACATGTGTTTATTTGCCATTTGTATTTCCTGATCTGAGAAGTGTGTATTCATTTCAGATGCCCATTTTTAGGTTGGGGCTTTAAATTTGAAGGGTCTGACTTTATTTGAGTTCTTTATATATTCTAGATAATAGTTCTTTGTCTGAGGAAGGATGATAAATTTTTTTTTCCACCTCTGTGGGTTGTCTGTTTACTCTGTTGGTGATTTCTTTTGCTGTGCAAAAACTTTTTAGTATGACAGGATCCCAGTTGTTGACTTTTTGTGATTTTTACTGTGAGATTAGGGCTTTGTTCATTAAGTGTTTACCTATCTACACCTTTTTCTTCATGAGTTCTACTTATTCTCTCTTATAGCAGGTTTAGTGTTTCTTTTAATAGTTGGATCTTTGATCCATGTGATTTTAATTTAGTGCATAGTGAGAAATACAGATCTAGTTTTAGTCCTTAGTATGTGGCAAAGCCAGCTTTTCCCACACTATTTCTTAAAGAGGCTTTGTTTCAATGATTACATTTGAACATTTTGTGAAACATAAGGTGGCTTAGTTTGTTCGGAGTTGTTTCTATATCCTCTGTGCTGTCCATTGATCCTCAGGTCTGCTTTTGTTGTTGTTGTTGTTGTTTTACCTATTTATTTATTTTTGCTTTTTTTCCTTCTCAGTATTGTGCTGTTTTTGTCACAGTAGCTCTGTAGTATAATTTAAAGCCAGGAATTGTAATGCCACCTGCCTTGCTTTTGTTGCCCATGATTTGTTTTGCTATTCTATGTCTCTTCTGGTTCCAAATCAATTTTAGAAATATTTCCTCTAACTCTGTGAGGTATGCTCTGTGAAGTATTTTCACCAGGATTGCATTAAATCCTTATTACAGTTTTGGGAGTATGCACAATTTCACTATATTGGTTCTTCTTACCCCAGAACAAGGGATAAGCGTCTATTTTTGGATATCTTGTTCAATCACCTTTTCCCAAATGCTGTAATTTTCAGTGGTAAGTTCTTTTACTTCCTTCATTTGGTTAATTCTTAATTATTCCTTTGTTTTGGATGCTATTGCAAAAAATATTGTTTCTCTAACTTCTCTCTCTGATTTCATTATTTGTATATAGGAATGCAATGAATTTTTTTATCCAGCTATGCTACTGAATTTGGTTGTTAAATCTAGATGTCTTTTGTTGGACATTTTGGTTTTGTCTATGTAGAGTATTATGTCATGCACAAATAATTACTTATTCTTTTCCACATTTATTCCTTTTATATCTTTCTCTTCTCTAATTGCTCTGGCTATTATTTCCAGAACAATATTGAATAGGATTAGTGATAGTGGACATACTTGTCTTGTTCTTGATTTTAGAATGACAGCTTTCAGTTTTTTTCCATTTAGTATGATGCTGTTGATTTGTCATAGATGGCTTTTATCTGATTGAGATAAAGGTGATGTATTCTAATTTTCTATAGGGTTTTATCTTGAGTAGGTATGGGAATTTGTATCCTATGGTCTGATAACTATGCATGGAATAATTTCAGTTCCTTTGCATATACTTAAGCATGTTCTGTGGATTGGTATGATTTCTGTTTTGGATAACATCCCATGCATAGCTGAGAAGAATGCGTATGCTGATGTTGTAGAGTGGGGCACTCTGTATGTATCTACTGAATCCATTTGTTCACAGGTTTGGTTCAATTCTGATACTTCTTTGTTGATTTCTGGTCTAGTCGATGTGCCTATTTGTGTCTGTTGAATATTAAGATCCACTATTACAATATGATTATTCATTCTGTTAATATGTTTTAATATAGTTGGATGTACCTGCTTTTGGTACATTCATATTTATGATCTTTTCCTCTTGCAGTTTTCTGTTAGCAAGTATGTAGTGACCTTCTTTGTCTCTTTTGATCAGTCTTGGCTTGAATTTCACTGTGTCTGCAAATAAAATAGTTACTTGCACCTTTTTCTGGGTTCTTATTGCATGAAGTATTGTTTTTCATCCTTTGGATTTCAGTCTCTTGATTGCTTTTTGAGTTTAAATGTTTCTTGTATGCAACGTATTGTTAGATATTTTTGTTGATCCACTCTGCCACTCTGCTTCTTTTGAATGGTGAACTGAGGCCATTTACATTGATAGTTATAAGTGATATATACTGATTTATCCTTGTTGTATTTTCCTGTTGTTGATTCCCTACCATTCCCCTCAGTTTAATTGATTGCCTTTCCTGGTGGTTTCTTATCATTGGTGTTCTTGGAATTGTACTCTTGTCTCTTTCTAAAATATTTTTCAGAATATTTTGTAGAGCTGGTTTAGTGATCATGAATTTCTTCAGTTGTTCTTTGTCATAGAAGTATCTTATTTCTTCATTT